TGTATCAACCAACATACTCTACATTTAGTTCAAGGACAATCTTATTCACTCAACAAAAAAAAATTAAAACTATCTTGTGGTACATCTCTTGCTAATGCACATGAACACATCAATGTGTCCATGAAAACTCCAGCTCGACTTTTATGATTTGTCTTGTACTGCGGTTATTTTATATTAAACTAAGTAACTATGAATGATACATATGGTCAATTACCCTATAAGATAAAAAATTTAAATAATTCAAATCATCTAGAAAAATTGGTATTCAGAAATTGTGTTCTTTTAAACTCACTCATTTGTCCAATCATGCCATATTGTCAAGAGATTTAGGATTTAACGGTTGACCAAACGAAAACTTTCAAAAAACTGGTCACTTATAGTTTGCATAACATTATCGTTGCTTTAATAGTTCTAAAAATGAATACCAAGTTAAGAATTCTACATCACATCTGCACATTGAATATTGTAATTCAATATGCAATATTCGAATCAATGATATTTGGGTTGCAATTTTAAAATTATCCTCCATTTATAAGATATATATAAATTAAATTTATTATTAAAGTAAAATTAAAATAATCAAAATATGAAATTTCAAATAAAAAATAAAGTACTTACTGGAGAGTTAGTGGGCTAGCTAACAGTAGTGAAAAGTCATATGATATTTAGAGTTTAGGTTTTCAGATTTTGTATTTAAAAAGATACAAAACATTTCTTTAGTGTATTGGTAATGGTTGTTATATTTGTTTGGAAAGACCATAGTACAAATCTCGATATTGATGTATTTTTTCTAATGAATAAAAAATAAATAATAATTGTGAAGACATAATTACCCTTCCTACTTTCGCTGTTGTTGCAGGAAATTTGATTAGATGAAAAACTGCCCCCAACTCTGCTATAGTATATTTGTAGGCTCAAGATAGGGTGCATAACCATGGGTTATGCACCCATCAATAACCAAATATGGACCCTTCATTTAGAAAATTCAGATCTAAGGATGGAGAATTAAAGACTATTTTTATTTTCACTAGCTTTCTTAATTGACTCATATATTTTTCGTTTTAACTCGGATTTTAATTTTTTTTTGCACAGATGGAACGAGTTCACCGTGCTCTACAAAATGAGATCAATTTTCAATATTTTTTTAGGGAAAGAAAATTCTGGCCTCTCGGTACCAACTGCATACCATATGGTATCTTCTTCGTTTTTAATTCGTTTTTGAAAACGTTTGCACAGCAGGGATGAGTTCATCATGATCTACTGGATCTACAAATTTCTGGGTGAACAAATTACAGGACCAAAAAATACCACACAATACCATACAATACCACCCTGGTACGGGGTGGTATTGTATGGTATCTTCTTCGTTTTTAATTCGTTTTTGAAAACGTTTGCACAGAAGGGACGAGTTCATCATGATCTATTGGATCTACAAATTTCTGGGTGAACAAATTACATGACCAAAAAATACCACACAATACCATACAATGTTAAAAGTCATAAATTACAATTAATATACTTCTACTATCATGTATTCAACCATCCTACAGTATTGGTTTGTTCATACCACCATGGTACGTTTTTCAAAATATAGGTATGCTTTTATTTCAATACAGTCAATACCATATGATATAGGCTGGTAAAAAATGGCTCAATTTTTTTTGTTCGAAAAATATATTAAAGTGGATATCATTTTGAAGAGCACAATTAATCTTATCTAACTGTGCAAAAAAAAATTAAATTTTGACTTAAAATGAGCGAGAAATCGTCCGTCAAAAATTAAAGACTTTCCATGAGAGAGAGGATGCTGATGTCATGCTGATGTGGACGGGTTACTCATGGTTACTCACCATAAGGTTACTGACCTGATCCATTCCCATATTTGTAGATACATGTCAGACCAGTGGTGGAGGTAGGTTGAAAATAGAAGGGGTTATAAACTCATAGTGTGCTCAATTTTGAAATATAGATAAAATTACATGTAAAATTTGCACAAATTTAGGAATTAAAATAGTCGGTAAGACTTTAACCTCCCTTCACCAAGTACGACAATTCAAATCAGTCCCTCATTCGAATTTTTTACTCCACGACTGTGTATGCAGCCACCAATGACTATAATTTTATTTGTTGGTTTGTTGTATTAGTGCTACCAAATGGGTTTTGCTTAACTGAGAGGGAAGATGCTTGGCATTGTGCGATGGGAATCTGCAATTCCATAATAGTGTCGTCTACAGTGGTTGCTGCCTTCGTTTGCAGGTGGTCGTCCAATGATGCTGCTAATGTTGAAGGATGGATTAATTATTGTGTTTTACATGCTTTGCTTTGGTTCATTTGGTTAGAAAGAAACCATAGTATCTTTAGGGAGTCTCGATCTCAAGCTTGCACCACCGTTCGCAAGGCAATTAGGAACGCAGTGGGGTGGTCTATTGAGCATGGTAAAATAAGTAAAGAAGAAGGGACTCAGTGGATGGATGCGAAGATGACTAGGCTTTGACGGGGTCCTTGGTGTTTTGGTGGCTCTGTGTAGTGGTTTCTGTTTGAGATGTTGTATGGGACTCTTTGGGTTGGTTTTTGGGTGGTGTGGCTCTCTGTGTTTCTGGTTGATGTTTCTCGGCGACCCCTCTCTTCTTCTGGTTTCCTGTCCTTGGGCCGCTTTGCGAGCTTCTGCTGGTGTCTCTGTGTGTTTTTCCCTTGATGTTGCTCTTATTTGTCTTCTCCTTTCAGAGAAGTTGGTTTTTCTGCTTTTGTTGTGATGGGTTGGCCCATCCAGTGTTCTTTCCTTTTGCTTTCAGGACTGTCTGTTTCCATCTCTTTCTATTTTGTTCTTTGCAATAGGAGTGGCTCGGTCCACTTAGTTGCTTTCTCTGTTTTGGTTATGATGTTTGTTGGTTTTGGCTCAGCCCTTCTGAGCCAATGCAAATTCGAACCTTTGTTTTCCTTTTGTTTTAATCAAGCGATCACCATTATAAAAAAAATTGGGAGGGAAGAAATGTAGAGAGAGAGAAAGTTGTGGAGGGAGAAATGAAATCTACAATTACAAGCTGTAACAAATTAGGAAAGCATCACTTTCCAAACCGTAATTCTATTCTTTAAACGCCCTTAAAGCTATAGAAAAGGGCATGTACAATCACAAATTGGTAAAAAGGAACCCAAATCCCCTCTCTCTTTTTATCATTAAAACCCAAATAGCCTCCTTTTCCATTCAAAAATGAAAGGGAAGTTCTTCTCTACCCTACCTTTACTTCATAAAAGTAGTAATAAGGTTTGGGAATGATCCAGGAGCGTTATGCATCATACACATATATTTCCTTACTGCACGACATTATGTATAGTATAAGCAAAGACTACTATCATGTTACTATCGTTAAATGGACCAGGACATGTGTTGATAACTTGGGACTATGATTAAGCACCATAGCCAATGCATTAGTTAATTGTGACTTCTTGGACTGTTCAAATCTAATTAGTGCACACTTTTAATTATTGGATTGTTTTTCTCCCTATAGAAGAGAACACTACAAAGTTTAAGGTGATCCTAGTGATGGCAAGTGGGCAATTTAGGGTGGGTATCACTAGATTGACGTCTGGCCCCACTTTGTCTCGCGCCGAGTGATGAGTCGATTGTTTTTCCAAGTTTCGTCCCGCATGGGTCGGGTAAAACCCGTCCTGTCCGTTTTAGGGAAAAAAAGCGATGTTGAGAAGCTATTGTTGTCCTTGAAATCGCCGAGCAGCCACCATCCCATCGCTCTCCAACGATGGTTTTTGTTCTCCCTTCCTCAAAATATATCAAATCAGTGGATTAATTGAAAATACGATTGATTTCGACCAAGGAAAGGAAGGCACTCCGCAACTGCAAGGTGAGAAAAATTGGGAGTCGCCAACATATACACATATTTTATGTACGTGGTGTGACGAGGCGGAGCATAAGCTAAATACAATAATTAATTACGACGAACATTTTGATATCAATTTTATTTTAATTCGGACATAATTTTTTATGTTGTTACACTTGACATGGCCAATGACGAAAATAACATAATTGGTTCAGATTGCCATAGACTCTCCATAGAAGCTATATGACTCCAACTCGCCTCCATAATCCAGTCATTGATTGATAATGGTTGACAAAACCATCCTCTAGAGTTTCAATCCAAGCCTTGCTATAGAACTTCATCTCCAGACTCCGTCCAATTAGGAGGGCGATTAGTTTGAGACATGATGAAGAGTTTGGAAAGAAGAGATTTTTTTTTAATGGGAAGAAGATGATCTTCTTTGTGATAATAAGGAAATAAAATTTGGTAGCGGTGAAATAGAAGTGAAGAAATATGGTGTATTGTAGAGGAAATTGAAAATAATTGGTGTTGGAGGCTAAAAGCGATGTTAGAAATAAATTGGGACTGAAAGTAATTATTTAATAGAACGATTGTCATATATAATCAACAGCCCCGCCAGGGGAGGGGGAACGGAGCGCGAATGGCAGTAACTCCGTCCTGCGAGGGTGGCGTACCGCCCTCCCCCTCGCTCGTACTGGTTTGTTGTGTGAGTGTGTGTTGGGGGGGGGGGTGATCTTTCTTATTGTTTTGTGGGCTAAATCCGGTACCAATTTCCATTTTTAGAATTTCGAAACTACTTTGGAGCTTATTTTATCTACTTTTTGAGATTTTTTTTTATAAAAATTGAAGATGGTCATTACTTATTTCATCATTCTCACTTAATTTAATGTTTTGCATCTCTAATTATTTTGGGTTTTATGAATTTTTCTCAACCCAAAACCTCTAGTTCCACATTTCCTGCTCATCTCCTCTCCTCCCTTATCTGCTCACACACATTCCCCATTTCTCTTCATGAATCTTCTTCATCCTCCAGCTTTCGAATTAAACTCAAGCAATTCATTTCCCAACCCTAGATTTAATATCTTTCATTTTGAGTGATAATTACGCCATCTTCATTTCTTAGACGATTCCATTTTTCCCGACCCGGGCCACGCAGCAACTGGTGGCATGATTCGTGATCATTCAGGACGTTGTCTTACAATGTTTGCTTTGAACCTTGGTTCTTGCACTATAACCCAAGCCGAGTTAAAGGGAGCTGTTGAAGGTCTCCAGGTGGCGTGGGATGCAGGACACAGACGAGTCAATGTGCAACTCCACTCTCGGTGTGTGGTTCAGCTCCTGAGACGTGCAGACTATCACTACCATCATAGTGCAACTATTATTTTGTGATTCTAGGAGAGGGTAATAGATGTGCATATTATTTGGATAATCGGGGGCATGTCATGTTTGGTTTCGAGTTCTTATTTGATGCTAAACTATTGGATCATATATGATTGTCGGGAGCTTTCCGAATCCCAGTTGGTTTTGAATGAACGTTAGGGTGTCATTGCATCTATTATAAAATAATGTATATCATTTTGGAAAAAACTCAAAAAAGTAAAATAATAAGATGACATACTCATGAGATCATGTTGATGAAATGCAGGCCGGTTGAACCAGGTTAAACCTGCGCCCGTCATGAATCGATATAAATGCAATCAGTATGATCGATTTACGAACTTTAAGTAAAATGACGTCGTCTTAGTAAATTTGATTGATGAAAAATGAATTTATTACATGCTTTATGAATATACAAATTAAAAGTTGATGTAATTTATTGGATTCAGGTATAAACATTTAGATATTGAGGTTCAATGTTGTATTTAAATATAATTATTTTTTATTTTATTTGGAATGTCGTATTTTATTAAGCCAACATGAACAAACACAAACCATTGTACCACTAGTCGTACAATTCCACTAGCTAAAACAGCGCAACGGTATAAACCGATTTGACAACTTTGTATGAGAAACATATAAGTATAGGAGCACTTCTACTATGTTATAAAGCATTGGTGCTGTAATGTACAAATTCAAGTTGTACCATAACATTAAATGTCTAAGTTCAGGTTGTACTATAAAAGAATTTATACCCTTGTGTTATGATACAACTCTACAACTAAAAATTGTACCATCACATAAAGTACAAGTTCAAACTGTACAATTAAAGAAATTGCACAAACGAGTATGGGTACAGTCTCAAGTTATACCTGATTCGGGCTCATTTGTACACTTTTTACCCCCGATTTGCGTAGTCCTTTGAAGCATTTTTACTCTGGGAGGTTGGCTTTACGCCGGGTGGTGCCTTGTTTTGGTGTTTTTCAGACTTTGGCAGGTGGAACCAAACCCGGAATCGAAAGTTGGACGAAAGGGCGAAAAATCAAGTCAAACGGTGGAAACAACAGCATATCACGGTTTGGGCTGTGAGTTCACGGTCACTAAGACCGTGAACTGGAAGCGATTCCCGCGAACAGCCAGACATCCAAAGCACAAATGGTTTTCACTGGACACGAGTTAGTTCACGGTCAGAAGAGCGTGAATTAGGATTAGTGATGCGGCGCGTTTCAAATTTGGTTCGCGGTTTGAGCTTTCAGTTCACGACCGTGAAGTAAGATCGTGAATAGAGCCCGATCTGGGTATATAAAGGAGGTTGAGCCAAAGGAGAAAGGGGGGAGGCCTAGTGTGAGAAACTTCTTCTTCAGATTTCTAGAGTGAGAAAGTGACAAACCAAAGAAGAAAAGAAGCTAGGGTTTCATCTTCAAGCAAGGAATTGGGAATTCCTCCCCCAAAGGAGGATCTCTTCAACACAAGGAGCAAGGCTAGCATCTCTTTGATGGTTTCCCTTCTTCTAGCATGGAGTACTGTCTTCTTTCACTTGGGTGTTTGTAAACACTAGCTACAATTATGTGAATGCTTGTATGGGTTAAATTATTTGTGTGTGGTTGTGTTTAATGTGAATGTGGAGGTGTTATTCATGAATGATTGTATCGTGTGAAAACCTATCAATCTAATTGCCATTCTAACCTAGGTAGAGAGAAAACCTCTTCCTTTCTTTGAAAGAGGCTTGAATGTTGGGTTTTCTTAGGCTATTCATTGTCTCCTAGTTAGGTTAATGCAAGGAAAACCTCCTTTTTAGTATTAGCACCTAGGGTTTGGTTGTGGGTGGCCTTCCGAACTATGATTCGAGGGTGAAGTCTAACCAATCCTTAGTCAATAGGTCAAGAGAGTCACGTCGGTGGCTTGGATCGCATTTCTTTCCCTCGACCTAGAGAGTAAGAGGGTGGTGCTTGGCCACTTGTTACACTTCCCTACGGTTTACAACCCCCTCACCACACACGATCATTGATCCAACAAGTCGTAATTGCTAGCTAGGGGAGCAACACCCTGGAGAAGCCTTCTCAATTAGTGTCAAATCCATTTACTTTGGAAAACGTTTTAGCTTTAGATTGTTGTTTTCACCAATAATCAATCGCTAGATAATGTTACAAACAATCAAAGTAGGGGTACATGAACCGGTGCGGGTCGATATTTAAACATGCTTGCCCTGTACTCCAGCCAGTTAAGGTTTATACTTGGGCCTTAATTGGGAGTGTTAAAGTGGTGCGTTCGAGTTGAGTAAAGTTTTTGGAGCCGTTGTCGGGGATCCACTGGTTCATTATTTTGAAAAGATTTTTTGGTGTTAATATAGCTTTTACTTTTCGCTTTGAGTTTTTGAATCTTGCTTGTGCTAGACGTGTTGTGGTTCTTTTGAGTGTGTGCTGAGAGGTGTATGACCCGTAGTAATCCGACACCTTTGACGCCACTAGACGAGGATCTCAACCACACGCTCTGACACTTGGCTCATGCGAGGGAACTAGCAGAGGCAAGAAGGAGGATAAAGAGGAAGTTGTAGTTGATGAAGGGGTTGATTCCAAAGAGGAAGGAAGTGAAGTCGAGATGGCGGCTAATCAATCTGCTCAAGGAGGAGCGGTCGCGAAGGAGCAACCGAGGATCATGGGCTATTACATAGCTCCAAGGCCGGGGAATATTCAACCCACCATTCCACATCTACCTGTGGCCACCAAAAATTTTGAGATCAAACTCGCCCTTGTCACCATGATTCAGAACAATGCCCTATTCCATGGGCTTAGCAACGAGTCTCCAAGGAAGCATGTTCAGAAGTTCATTGAACTTGAGGGGAGTTTGAAGATCAATGGCGTCCTTGAGAATGCTTTGAAGTTGAGGATATTCCCCTACTCTCTTGCGGGGAATGCGTCTCAGTGGCTCAACAATAGGCCGGCTCTCTCGATCACTTCGTGGGATGATATGCTCAATAAGTTTATGACTCGTTATTGCCCACCTTCAAAAACGGCGGAGCGTTGCAAAAAGATCACCCATTTTGAGCAAGAGGAAGATGAGACATTGATGGATGCTTGGAAAAGGTACTCTGATTACTTCCTCCAATGCCCACAACATGGATTCGAGGAGCAATTCCGGATTGAGAACTTCTATGGTGGTCTCCACCAAGACGACAAGATCCTCATTGACTCCTTATGTCAAGGTAAATTGATGAACATGACTCCAACCCAAGTGACCGAGTTGCTTGAAGACATAACAAGTAAAGGGTATGATTGGGGCTTGACAAGAAGTGAAAAGAGAAGCACCGCAAGGGGAGTGCAAAGTGTAGGAACGAGTCCCCCGCTTGAAGCCAAGATTGATCGTTTGATTGAGGCAATCTTAGAGGACAAGAAGCATGGGAAGAGGCCGGTAATGGCGTGTGATTGGTGTTCAAGTACCAACCACGAGATTTCGGATTGTAAAATGATGAAGGAATAAAGCACACCCGAGGAGAAAGTGAGTTTCATTGCCAATTCTAGGGGGAACAACCCCTATATCAACACTTACAATCCGGGGTGGCCAAACCATCAGAATTTCTCTTTGTCTTCTCCGACCAATCCAAGACCTCCCGGTTTCCAAGGACCAACGAGAAATTATCAACCAAGGCCTACATTCATTCAACAAAGGCCGCAATTAGCTCTAACTTCCAACAACCATTTCAAGCTCAAGGAGGTCAAGGGTTCCAACCAGTGTTATCAAAGCCGAGTCGGTTGGTCGGACCGGAAAAACCACCACCTGGCTGTCAAACCGGATCGACACAACTATTTAGCCGAAACGGGTTTTTGGGGCGTTCGGCAGCCGCTCGAGCCGAACACCCGGCTTTCCATTTCGGTCGGTTGGTTCTTAATAAAAAAAATTGAAAACGAGAAGGAAAGCAGAAATGTCGGGCTATCAAACAACCCTAATTCTTCAGTTCATTCTCTTCTTCGCCTTTCGTGCAGACAAAAGAAGCGCCGCTAACACCCATCTCCAGTCCCCATCGCAAGAACCCAGAGGCAACCTCGGCCTCTTCGTCGATTTGCTGATTGGGTGCACAACTCGTTGATTTGGCGAGCTCTCCTGCCGGCAAACCAAGCGACGACGAGCACCCAACAATCTGCTCGCCCTCTCTGCCCTGTGACGACAATGACCCAACTCTTCGTAATCCTATTGCTGACTCTCCTTCCAGCCGATGCCGACCTCTCTGCCTTGACCCTTTTCCTTCAAGTTTCACGAAACAGAGCAGGGAATTGAATGAGAAGGAAATCAGAGAGGGGAGGGGGGGATGAGGCCCGCCGCTAGGGGGTGGGAGGGGTGGGGATTCCTTAGTTGTTAAATATATATGTATTGTAAAATTACTAAGTGGTACTTGCAAAATAAATTTTATTTTAGGCATTGAATTGTTAAGTTATTGCTTTATGTGTGTTCTACTTATTACATTATAGTTTTTAATGTATCGGTTCTCTAACGGTTTTTTAACGACCAAATACCTGTTGGACCACTAAAGTGCGAGCCATTCACATTACCGGGTCATGCTCCAGCTCGGTTCTGACAACATTGGTTCCAACAACCCGATAAGTTTTCAAAACTTGAAGACCATGATGGAGAGACGATAGGGTTGAGTATTGATGATTATGCACATCTTTTGCACCAAAACGGTCTTGACCCCATTGGTCGAGAGTGAGTGATTCATTCTTGTTTTGCATGTTCATATTTTACTCCGGTGAGGACCTATGTTGCCCCGTTGTCTATTCCTTGGACTTGAGTTCTATGCATCGTTAGTTTTTGGTTAGTGAGTAGTCCGGTCAAGACTTGCATTGGTTTGTGAATAGGGTGAAAACTTTTCATTTGCCCATTCTTGATGCAATCGATTGTCATTTGGGGTGGATGCCGGTATTGTTGAGGCGGTTCATGTGTCGATGCCCAAATAGTCATTGAGATTCACTTCTTTGTGCCTTTTGATTTGTCTCCAAGTTGTCTTGTTAGGTTAGGAT